TTATGAATTTTATTTAATGATTTGGAAAAAGGTTTTTTAAAAAATATTGCTCCGGTTCACCTTAATTCTTATAATTCAGGGTTACATGAATCGGGGTATTACACGTAATGCTCGTTATAGCTACACCTAGTATATGAACAAGAAACAACTCAAAAAAGAAGGAGGAGAAGCCCCTGGGTTAGCCGTTGGAACCGTCAAAGTTTGAAGGCGATGCTAAATTTTCTATGGCAGAAACTTCAGCTAACTTGGACAGTAATTATCACACTCTTCTGTACTTCAATCCGAGAAACTCTGAACATGAAAGTTGTAAATCTACATCTTATCTAACCACCAATCCAATTGTTTTGAAATTCTAACATAAAACGAGGGAGATACGTCCAAAATACTGAGACTGGTGTAGCTGTGAAAGGAGTGATGGGAATTGCAACTTCAACCTTTGCTTTTGCCTCGTTCCATCAACTCTCAGGTCTATACCCCAGACTTGTGTACAACGTAGATTTTGTAGAATCATTCATATGCATGTATTTAGCCTCGTAATTAATATCGTTATCATCGTAATATAACCTCGTAATTTATATGCAGCTTGATTTGCTATGTCTATGACTCTTCCATGAAACTCAGTGATTTTTTTCTTTGTCGTCCATACACAAATATTCATATTGAGTCATGTGAATTTGGTACTTGGTAGTCTTCAGCTCTTCATCTCCTTCATGGGTTACTTTGAGAACATCCCAGGCTTCTTTTTCATTGTTACAATTTGCTATAATCTTGTACTGAATTGAGTCTACTGTGCCGAAAATGGTATAGAGTGCCTTCTCATTATATTCAGCGGCAATGTCTTGGTTCTGCTATACTCCTAGAACATCTTGATTGTTGATCATGATGTTAGATCATCAGAGTATGTGTGAGGCTCTGTCCAATTAGTTTCCACACTTCTCCAGACCCCACCTCCAAGTGAATTCAGACCCCACCTCCAAATGAATTCAAGAATTCCCTCATGCGACGACCTTTCTAGAAGTTGTATTTGTGACCACGCAACATTGGTGTTTGTTGCACATTAGCACCTTCCTCTATGTCCCCCATGATATGATCGATAGCTAGTAACTTAAGCTCAACCGCTCCAATACCAATTGAAATCTCTACGAGATGTCCCTCTACTTTTATCTCATAGAAAAGTTAATGCACACAGAGAAGTGTGCACTAAGTAATATGCAGGTTAATAGTTACGGATGACAGATTCAATGCCGTAACACACATGCAAAAACATCTAGAATAGAAATAGTAAAAAGACACACACACACAATTTTGTTTACATTGTTCAGAGTTGAATCTCCCACGTCTGCGAGGCCCAGGTCCGTGTAACAGCCCTTCACTAGATCATGGTAAGTTTTACACAGATCAAACACTATAGAATCTTCTAATGTTTTGACAAGGAAAATCTTACGTGAGATCTCAAGTAGTAAACTCTGTTTGCACCTTTCACCTTGGCACGTTACACCCTAACTAGGTTTCTTCCAAGAACGTGAATTTAACCTTTTCTCCAGGTCAACACAATACTCAACACATGGACTCGTGTATCATCACTTGATCGTAAATCAATCAATTTGGAAAATTGTTCATTATATATGATTCCTTCAAACCTCACACTAAGATAAAGAATGTTGTGTGATCTGTGTATCTCTCTTTTATGGAGCTCACAAGTTTTCTCTCGCTTAGTTCTTCGATATTTTCATTAGAGCTTCTGCGTGATATAAATACGTACAAAGTGCAAGCCCTAGTATACTGCACGGAGGAGTCTTAGTGCTATAGAGTGTCCCAGATCCGTAAACTACATAGCTCGAGATAAACTCAAGTATCTCCAAGTTACTACACTCGTGATGACTTCCATTATGCAAAGATACCTGAGATGTCCCAACTCTTCAAACGGTATATCAGTAACTTCAGAATCCTTGTCACACAAGAAGCACAAACCCAGAGTAGGATGATAGACGAAAGTGCTCAAACACAAAAGAGAACATCAAATATATTCTATGTGGTTGTGGTTTGTCAAAAAAATAGTGCCAACCCATAATGAGGGCAATTAAGGATAAAACAGAACAGAGCTAACATAAAGTACGATCAATTTGACTCAAAAAATCAAACTGAATGAATACACTATGGAGTATTAAAAACATGGAAAGTTAGTAGTTCGAATTTGTTTAAAAGAGAAAAGTACAAAAATATTATGTGCTCATCAGAATTATGTGGTCACAAAAAATATTATGTGCTCTCCATCTACTGCACATATTTGGTGTGGATAAGAAAATTAGAATTTAGATAAGAAATGAATGGTTGGAGAAATTTGATGTACATGTAACATTACTCTAAAACGTATTTTAGCGAAAAACAAAACGACACGTCAAGAAATGAATGAAAATGAAAAAACTTTGGGCAATTAAGAGTAATGAGACAATATAAAATGCACACCATATTCCCCTAAAGCCTGACTTCGTACAATTACCACTCAAAATTATCTCCATGGCCCTATAATAATAAGCTCTAAATTCAATGAATTATTAAGTATGAATTGGAATTACGTGTTATTTATCATTCACGTCATCTGTCATTACAAAACAAAATGTACTTAAAAACATTGTAACGTGAGTGATGGGTTGTGACTGTGCCAAAATTAATGTCTCATCAGTTTAGATAATGGGTCATCATCATCACCATTAATCATGCTTTACAACCATTTAATTCATTACCCTCCCAATATTTAGGTGCCTGTTTACCACTAATTTTACCCTTTCGGAAGATTGTATTTACTTGAACATGTTTAAAATGTGAGGGAAATGTCAAAACCATTCCACTTTTACTTTAATTTATCTTTCATCCTACTCGGTAACTTTTTAATTTTAAATATATTTGAAGATATGTGTGTAATGGGTAAATTTATACTCCCTCCAATCCTAAACACATGATAGTTATTGATTTTTAAGAGATTTAAGGAAAATGTATTTTGTTATTGAATTTCTAACAAAATCCTTTGATGTGATACGTAAAAGTTGAATTTAATGGATAATTATTAGTAAAAAGGTATGATGTGTTGGGTATGGTATGAAAAAGTAAGGAATAAAATTTACATTTTATTAAAAATAAAAAATGTTTTTTGAACGGATGAAAAAAGAAAATATAAAAGTTTTTAGGAAGGGAGGGAGTATGAAAATATAGGGGTGACAAAATATAGGGGCGAGAGAAGGGATGCTTTTCACATCCCCTATTCCATGTTAATTCTCTATTAAGATATTCTTCATACATTAAAAAATAGATGGATTTAGATACTTCGTAAAAGTATGTGTGCATTCGTTTTCCAATATATAAACAATGTCTTTATGCTCTGTTCTTTTGAGTTAGAAAAATTAACTTCCAATTTCATTCACATCCTTCCATTTTCTTTTAATTCCTTCAAGTTTCTTCCAATAATGACTTAAAAATGTATTTATATATAATTAATATAAAATAATAATACATATCCAAATTTATAACATTTTACCCCAAACACGAACAATGATCATTTTATTTGAGTAACTCTTTAACACTTAAATTCCTCTAATATTTTTCAACTCCTTCCATTTTTTTCTAATTATTTCCAGTTTATTCCAACTCCTAGTTTCTTCCAACATCTATCTCTGAAATTTTAATCCAAAAGAACATGAACTTAATATGGAAGGAAAGAAATTAAATATCCTTTAAGACATATTTGCACTAAATAGCACTAAAACTTAAGTCATTTCCCTAAATAGCACTTAAACTGTTTTATTCCTTAAATAACACTTAATAATGTCAATAATATCCAGTGATGGCGAATATTTTCTTGAATAATGACTAATGCATAATGACTAAAAGTGCTACATTGGAAAGAAAAACACATGTGGTGCTATTTAGGGAAAGTCATTATGTTTTAATGTTATTTAAGTAAATTCCTCATTCTTTAATTACTATTTCCTCGTTCCACAAATTATTTTCTTATTATTTCTTTTCAGGTTGTCCACAAACTATCATTTCCTATCCGTTTTGACAAAAATATATACTCCCTCCGTTTGGAAAAACACTTCCCATTTGGATTTGGGGCAAAAATAAGGAAGTGTTAAATTATACTCCCTCCGTTTTTTAAAAGTGTTCCTATTTTGACTTTGTGTAAAAATAAGGAAGTGTTAAATTGTAGTTGACTTCCAATTTTGCCCTTGATGTGATGGGTAAAAGTAAGATGTGATAGATTGAGTATTAGAGAAAAAGTATAATGTGATAGGTAGGGTATGAAAAAGTAAGGGTAAAAGTGGTTTTTTAAAAGAAAGTGGAAGTGTTTTGTTGGAAGTAAAAAAAGGAAAGAGGAAGAGTTTTTGAAAACGGAGGGAGTAGTTGATTTCCAATTTTGCCCCTGATGTGATGGGTAAAAGTAAGATGTGATGGATAGATTATTAGAGAAAAAGTTTGATGTGATAGGTAGGGTATGAAAAAGTAAGGGTAAAAGTGGTTTTTTAATAGAAAAGGGAAGTGTTTTGTTGGAAGTGGAAAAAATGAAAGAGGAAGTTTTTTGAGAACGGAGGGGTACTAAAATGTCTACTTTATCCCTCACCCCTACCAAATTCTTCATCACCCTCATTATCTTGCCTTCACTCTCACAAGCCTCGCATTCATTTAATTTTCATCTTACTTTGCTTCACCCACTTAACGCTCCGATCTTCATCTTCACCAAAACCTGATTTGCTTATACGCCTCCAAGCTAAAGCTTCTCAAATTAAAGGAGAAGCCATTATTGTCGGTTTTATATGCTTCCTTGATATTTTAGACAATTTATAATATTATCTCCCTCCCAAAAAGATTGTAACAAAATTGTATCCATATATTTCAAATTCAAAATAAATTTGCGACATATCCGGATATGTCACAAATTTATGTCCCTCTAATTTGTTTCCTTCTTGAAACTTAAAAAGAGTAGTTATATAGAGGTACGATCTCACAGTGCACATATATGGAATTATGGAGTATATGGTAGTATTATGGTACGTACATACACGATCTAAAATGTTAATTTGCAACAATCATAATTTAAAAATAGGAGTATGTGTATATACTAGTACGTACGGAGTATAATTCTGTGCATGCCCATCATTACATATATGTATATATCTTTTCATATATTTTGATAGCCTCATGCTACAAAATCTGGTAAGAGTTGAGCAGCAAATCTCTTTCCAGCACTCTCAAAGTCTATGCTTTCATAACCCCCATTGTTGTTGTTATTGTTCTCTATTCCCATTCTGCCCATCTCCATTCTCCTCCCTAGCTCCATGTCTTGATGGGTAGAAAGGTAATTCTGCTGGTTCTCGGAGGGCGGCAGGCCAAGAGTGAGGGACACACTCCCATTATTATTATTATTATTATTATTATTATTATTATTATTATTATTATTATTATTATTATTATTATTATTATGACCTCCGTGAAACCCGGGGGCCGCGAGGTTCTCCGGGCTGAACGGCCTCCCGAAGTCTCCAATGGGGAACCCCCCGAACCCGCTGGTGCTGGCGGCCGCCGCCAGGAGGTCGGGGAAGTTCCCTGCGGCCGGCCTGTTACTGTACCCTCCGCCGCTGGAGTGCGGGGACTTCATGTCGTCCATGTCCACCGAAACGATGCTGCTCCGCGGCGAGCTTTGCGCGTCGTTTCGGGGCTTCTTCCCGCAATTCCTCATGACCATCTCGTCACCTGAATTGTTGTTGTTGTTTTCCATGTTTAGTGTGTTGATGAAGGAGAAACCGCCGCCGCCGCCTTGTGGTGGTGGTTGAAGGGAAGTGGAGGAGATATTATCGGCGGTAGGGGAATTATTGCCATCAGTAATGGGCTTCTCCGTCGGCCCGCCGCCGCCTCCGTTTCGCTTTGTTCCCTTATTATTATCATTTTTTTCTTCTTTGCCGCCTTGTTGTTGTTTCTCTTGGCCTTTCATTTCTTCAGTGTACATTTCCTCAACCATTGGCTTCCATAATCGGACTCGAGCATTTATGAACCAGTTCGAAACCTACATTGAATATTTCGAATGTCATCCACCTTAATTACTTCCATTAATTGTTCGAAATAGGACATTTAGGATGGAATAAAAACGCAAATTAATTTAAGTAAGAACCTGGCTCCTGGTAAGTCCCGTTTGCTTGGCAAGCATGATTTTGTCAGAATCTTTGGGGTAACTGCAAGAGGAGAAAATGGTGACAACGTAACTCCCATGTTTCAGGAAGGTTTTGTTTTTAATTCTCTTAATAGTAATTAATGACATTAATTAAAAGAAATACACAAAGCAAAATGAAAGTCAAATTCATATGTTGGCAGAAAAGACAGCAGATCGAAGACATAGGATATAGGCTCACATGACACATTTGGGACAAAACTCATCAAAATCACTCGAGTGGTTTTGAAGTACATACTCTCTCAAGTCACAACATCCTAAGTTATTACTCCATGGGTTCTTTTATGATTGACATGTTGACTTTTTCAAAAACATTCAAAAATTACTAGAAATAGACATATGAAATGACTATCAAGAAAACAATTTCCTGGGTTTAGTAGTCCAATGGGAGGGAATAAATTATTGGAAAACTCTTGTCTATTGAGTAGATGAAAATCTTTCCTATCCCCAAATATGAAAATTAAATGCATTTTCATCTAGGAAGGATTGTCTAGTTGTGCAATTTGTTGGCATGTAATGTCAATTATATTTATGATGATTATAGACAATTGAGTTTGTCTTGTCCAAAAAACTATATTGTTTTCATACATATTTTCTTGGAAAATGATTTTTTTTCATGCAAAATAATAAGCAAATATATTTATAGGAACCATATTTTTATAGAGAGATGTTGTCTGAAACTTTGAAAGTATTCCCTTTCTTCTTGAATATTTGTCTATTTTTTTACCGTTTTTTGATTAAAATTGGCAAACATTAACCACAATTAAATAAAAAAATGCTGTAATATATTGATACAAAAAAATTTTATAAAATTTATTTATAAAATATTTTTAAAATATAATTTTATCTAATTAATATAAAATATACATTTTATTTAATTATAGAAAATGATTAAGTGTAAAAGGTAAAAAACTAGACAAATACTCAGGGATATAGGTAGTATTATATAAGTCAATTTCAACTTAGCCTCGTATAGATATGCATGAACAACTAGCCTGTCTAGAGACACGCTTTGTAAGTTCATGCATGTCTATGCATTTTGGCAAAAATGGAGACGAAGTTGAAATACGTACTATAACATAAAAGAGTCGAACATTAAATACGTACGAGTAGAACTTACGGGTGTAGAAAATGTTCAAAAAGCCAAGCGCGGAGGACGGAGACAGCGCGCTCAGGGAGGCCTCTCTGAGGTCTCCAAGCAGCATTCGGTTGCATCATGCCAAAATGTTGTTGTAGCGCATGATGCTGCCGGTGATGATCCCCAAATTTTAATAATCTGGAGGAGGAGGACGACGCGGGTCCTCCCCCGCCCAACAACAGCCCTTCTTCCTCCCCCAACCGCCTCCCGGCCGCCTTTATCTGGGAACCAATGGCGGCTCTGAGGCACCGGAATTGCTTGGAGATGGTCTTTAAGGCCAAGTGCGTGTACGATCTAGCCGAACCAACTCCCGCTGCCTCTTCCAACGTTGCAGCCATCATTTGCATTTGTTGGATGTATTGTCGGTCCCTTTGCTCCACCTTTTTTAAAAAAAATGAGAAAAATATGAATATATCAATTTAATTCAGAGCAAAATATTAAATTTATACCAAAACAAGACTTCTTGACATTGCATGTTTGCATTTTACGGTATTTTTTTAATATTATATATTGACACGCTTTGACTCTACGAGATAAAATGATACTCCCTTCGTCCCAAAAATTTCTTTTCCTTTCATTTTTTCTTATCCCACAACATTTTTCCTTTTACTCATAGTAATTTTTGACCTATCAATCACATCATACTCTTTTAATAATAATCTACCGATGACATCCTACTTTTTTATCCATCACATCAAAAGTAATTTTGAAAAGTGAACGCAAAATTATCCATCTCTTAAATTTTTCAAAAGTGAAAACAAGAACATCTTTATGAGACAGGGAAGTACTCGGTAAACAAAGGGTACCCTTGAAAAATGATAAAAGAGGATAAACCCATAATTATTGGTGAGCCAAATTATTAAAGTTATAAGGGCAAAAAAGAACGTACCTAGTACACACATGTAACCAATGACGTTGCTAGCTTCTTTATCGTAAACATTTTTTTGTCGGGTCGGACCCGCATGAGGAAAAACATATGGCTACACGTTTTGCACATCACTCCCTCTCAAAGTTGGAACATAAATGTGTGTGGTCCGATCCGATTATTGCAGTTGGAATAAATATTCGCCCTCAAATTTAATTAGGCCTCGTTTGATACATGAAATTCAAATTATGGAATTGAGGAGTTCAATTTCTATTCTGATGCTTGGTAACACAAAAATTATGTGAATTTGGAATTGGTAGTGCAAAAAATGAATTGGAATTGATGAATTCAATTCTATGGAATTGAATCCCATAAAATTTCAATTCCAATTCAATTTTAATTCCATCAATTCCTTATACCAAACAAACCCTTAATTTATTAATCTCACTCCCCATCTAATTTGTTGAATTGTTGATATATCGATATAATCATGCACGTTCATTTCATTTTTCGGTGTTCATTATCAATCTAAAAACAAACTTTAATTACACTTATTATTGTGAGATCAGATATCTAAAAAACGATATCTACTGTATTACACTTCTCTCATTCCTTCATTTTTTTCTTTTTGAGAAAACACCAACTGCGTGGCAGATAAAATTTCATGGAATTTATAGTAAATCTAAAAATATTAATTATTTTTCATATATATTCACCCTTGAAACGAGGGGAGATCGAGATGTTAGATATGGTGAAAGGTGTACAAGAAAAGTATGAAAGACTTTTCAAACTCAAGTAGTGCTACTCTAATTTTAAAGAATAAAGAGTCCGGCCAATAAAATAACAAAAATAACAATTGTTGTAAGGTATCCAAGGGAGGGAGTGATCGATAAACGGTAATTTACCTAAATAGAACTCAAACGTAATGACTTTCTCAATATAGGATGATATGTTTTTATTTTTCAATGTAAGACCGTTGGTCATTTATTCAATAGGCATTATTGAAGTAAATGTCTATCATCACTGGACATTATTTATCTCACTAGACATTATTAAATACTATCTACAGAATAAAAAAATTTAAGTTTTACATTAGGAAATGACTTATGTTTTAGTCCTATTTGGTACAAATTTCACTTTTTTTAAAATTTATTTATAATTCTTCTTAAGTTTTGTGAGTTAAAGTGTCAACCTTATTTTAAAAATGGAAGATATATTTTATTGAAAGTAATAAATGGGACAAAAATGGGTAATCTTTTTAGTGAAATCAAATCGATCAAACAAAGAAATCACTTACTCGCCCACTTATTGAAAAACACACTTTCATTTGATTCAATCATACTCTTGTGTTGTTATATTTGAGAGTTTGATGGAAAGATGCTCATACTTTAATGCCAATATATACACAGAATCCCCAAGTTGCATGACTTCATCATTATGCCCTAAGACTCGATCTAAGTCTCAATTGACCAATTCATTATTATTAATTGAGCAGCATAATTATTGCAACAAATTTAAATTTGAACCAAAAATGTCATGGATTGGGTAATACTCCATATGTTATTACTAATAATTAAATTACAGTTTAAATGTTACCGTGGCCAATTTCCATATATATATATATATATATATATATATATATATATATATATATATATATATATATATATATATATATATATATATANTGACTTCATCATTATGCCCTAAGACTCGATCTAAGTCTCAATTGACCAATTCATTATTATTAATTGAGCAGCATAATTATTGCAACAAATTTAAATTTGAACCAAAAATGTCATGGATTGGGTAATACTCCATATGTTATTACTAATAATTAAATTACAGTTTAAATGTTACCGTGGCCAATTTCCATATATATATATATATATATATATATATATATATATATATATATATATATATATATATATATATATATATATATATATATAGAAAATCAAACATATATACCTTAGCTTAGGTAATGAAGAATAATTGAAGAATTAATATACCCCCGCCACTTTGTCCGTATATAAATTCTCAAATTAGAAATATCCGTACATAGGTTTAACCATTTTTAATTAGAAGTAACATTTTGACCATTGGTATTAAAATTGTGTGCATGATCTTTTCCTGACTTTAAAAATATAATATTTTAGAATTAATTTAATGATATTTTAGAATGCCTATGAGTGAGATCATAAGGTTTGACTACAAATTTTCAAAGTAGAGTGCATTAGTTCATTTAGGGACTCGGGTAGCAATAATTGATTACTTTCTGTTGATGTTAATACCCTACTGTTCATATATTTGTCCAATATGAATAGGTGGTACCCAGAATATGAGAAGAAGAATTGCACACTATTTCCAATTTTTTAACTTTAAAATTATTAACTTTAATTCCAATTTTTAACTTTAAAATTTTGAAAATATTATTTAACGACAATGTTTATATGAATATTTTCTAAATTAATCTGTGTAATTAAATTAATGGTACGGTGGTGTTTATACTAATCTTTTCAAACAAAGCCTAGAAATAGCTAAGACCCAAGCTAAAAAATGTACTCCTTTAAAAACACAAAATAGCTCAGTTCTATTGTAGTTTTCTAATTTTGATTTTGTTTAGACAAAATTTATAAATTTTGACCATTAGTTAAATAAAATTCATAGTAAATATTGATTAAAGAATAATATTTAATATTTATTATGTACAATATTTTTAAAATATTAATTTATCTAGTTTATAATAATGTATAATGTAATTTTTTATTTATTTAGATCTTAATTAATCATAAAAAAATTAAACTAAACAAATATTGGTATATAAATGAAGTAAAATAAAAAAATTGTAAAGAGATGAAAAAGAGAATGAAAGGATTAAAAAAACAAACACTCCGTACGATGGTGAAACTACGTGCATATACATACATACCTCATCGAGCATGCTAAGAAGCTTAGCCTTCTTCATCTGCAGCTCTTGCCTTTGAGCGGTGGTCAACTCCGTCGCCTGGTCGCCGGCGAAAGTGGACACCGATTCTTTGCTCAACCTCGCCCTCTCTCTGTTTCCGGCCGCCGCCGTCCCGTCCCCTCCGGCGGCGTCTAACTTGACGATCTTCTCCACGTTTACCACTTCGTGGAGGAGCTCCTGTGCGGCCTTCAGATACCTCGAGCCCATGATTACCGACGGAGCCGGCGCACCGCCGGAGTCTCGGATATGATTGTCCGGCGCCAGCCGCGCCGACAAAAGCCCGACCGGGGACTCGACCGGCGGCATAGACGTAGTGAAAGGCTGATGTTGGTGTTGGGGAGATAGGCTTAAGGACAAGCCCCGTTGGTGGCCGGAGGAGCGGTGGTGGAACCCGAGCTGGGAGGCAAAGTCGGCTGTGCCGCCAGCGGAGGGCGGCTGGTCAACGGCGGTCCACAGGCTCCGGTTCGGGTCGTGATGTTGGTGACCCGAGAGGGGGACGCCGACAAAGTGCTGGGACTGTGGAATCCGCGCGTGAGACACACCCCCGGAGTGCAGCGCGTGGCCGGAGTTCAAAAACATCATGCTGGCAGCTGACGGCGGCTGCAGCTGCTCCTGCGGCGGCGGGAGCGCGTTGTCAGAGAAGCCAATATAGTTAGGGTTCATGAGATAGAGTGTCTGCAGACCATCCCCTTGCATTTCTGACCCTCCTTGGTAATACATAGCCATAAATGGTAAATAAAAATAAAATAAAAATTCAATTTTTTTTTAAAAAATTTATCAATAAATAAATATCAAGAACTAGTCATATAGAAGTCTCTTAAATTAACTAATTCCCCCATCTGGTGCTGACAAAACCTGAAAGAAAGTAAGAATTAAAAATTAGAGTAAAATAAGTATATATTGTATTTTCAGGGACATAAAAAGCCATTAAAATCGAAGAAGTCAAAGAAAATCAAGAAAAAAGGCATGAATAAAATAAAGAAGAAGCTCACATACATAATCACATGTGGGGATGATCGAAGAGCTGAAAGCGAAGGAGAAAGGGCATATGTATGTGTGTGAGTGAGATGGGAGGGCAATTTTGATCTGATATAGCTTAGCTTGTCAGGATGGATTGGTTTAATTTATGCAGCTTTGATTTCCAGCAGAAAGGGTAAAGGGAGATCGATATATGTGAACGAAAGAAAGAGAGAAAAGTGGGGTATCACTCACACACCAACAAAGGTATGGTAGAGATGAGATTGATGAATGAAAGGGAGAAAGCCCATCTAGCTATCTTTCCATATTTAATACTCTCTCTCTCATCCCTCCTTCCTAAAATTATCGTTTTCTATCCTATCACGAGGTGTGACTGAATTTATGTTTAGTCGAATTTATTTAAGTAATGGTACAAATATTTAAAACAATGTATACTCTTTCCGTCACTAAAAGCTCTTCCTGTATCAACTTAAAATGAATGTATTTAGGTGTTGATTTTCCAAAAATAATCTTATATATGATCCATGTGATGGGCAAAAGATGATATAACGGGTAGAATAATAGTAAATAAGTATAATGTGATAGATGGCGTGAGAATTAGTACAAGTCTAAATAATTTTTTAATAGAACGTTGCAATGTTTTTTTGGATGGATGAAAAAGGGAAAAAAGAATGACTTCTAGAGACAAAGCGAATATATATTAAAACATGAGGTGACAGGAATATGCTATTTTTACAAATAATAAACGAAAATAAGTCATGAATATAGAAAAAAATTGATCAGCAAGACAACAACTAGTGGAACAAGACGAGGTAGTTAATTACTCACTCTACTTCAAAAAATTCTTTACATGCCACACACGAGGTAGTTAAACAGAAGAGAGGCAGAGGGGATTGTGTGAGTACTAAGTTCGAAAATGAGTTAGAAAAATTTACTTATAACTGTTTCCAACTCCTTTCAGTTTCCTCCAACTCATTCTAAATCCTTCCCACTTTTCTAGTTTCTTTCGACATTGATTTAAAAAAAATATTTATATATGATTGATGGATATAATCCACTAGTACCACCCGGCAAGTTCACAGGCGCCCGGGGGTACCAAATTCTGACCCCACATGACCTCACCAACCCCGGTAGACTGACTGGGTGGATGTCGGGGGTCAGACATGTGAGATCGTTACTACATTCGCATAAGGCTTAAAGTCTGACCAGGCTTGACCTCACCGTCCCCGTTAATCTGCCCGGGTGGATGGCTTGAAGACTTCCCGGGTGGATGACCCGAAGGCTGCCCAGGTGGATGACCCGAAGGCTGCCTGGGTGGATGACCTGAAGACTGCCCGGGTGGATGACCTGAAGACTGCCCAGGTGGATGACCTGAAGACTGCCCGGGTGGATGACCTGAAGACTGGATGGCTTGAAGACTGACCGTCCGGAAGAACAGGAATGTCGGGACGTGCTTGACGTGCTTGTTTTTATTATAAATACCCCTAAAAGCCTCATTTGTGAGGCATGCTTTAATTAACCTGCACGGCTTGTATTTGTAATAACTCCTACTATCATTAATAACAAATCGGGTTACAGGTGTTTCCATCTACAACCCTTCCGATTACTTTTACTTAGTATTTGCGTGGTAATTTACACCATCAAATTGGCGCCACCTGTGGGACCTCTTTACAAAAAGAAGCCATGACGAACAACAATATGGAATCCATCATTTTCCAAACTTCCACCCCAGCGGAGGGCGTTACTGTAACGCCCCAAAATATACCCTAAAATTTATTGAATTAAATATTCAATTAAACAAAATTTGTTTTGATTAAAATAAATTGTTGTTGGGATTTGGGCTTGAATAAAATATATATTGATATCCAAAAAACATAATTGGGATAAATCTTATAGAGATAAATCCAACATGTTAATTTATTGTGTGATCTTGATTGGGAACCTGAGTAAAGACCCAAATCAAGAGTAAATAAAGAATTTGTTTAGAATATAAATATTGAAATGATTTGTTGAAATAAATCATGAGAATAATTGATATGAATTAAATGAGAAAACCTTTTATGAGAAAGGTCAATTAAACCAATTTTGACTCTGTTAAGGTCAAACACCCAAAAATGTGGTGTCGGGAAAAGTATAACAAATGAATATAAAAATTATATCGTTGGATAGAGTTCGACTGTCTGATCGCAACGGTGCAAACGGATTTCAATTCGGAGAAAGTTGGACCGAAAAGTGTACCCCGACTGGACCAAAAATTAGCCCCAATCAGAGAGTAACGTGCTGAGTCTCCTTAAGTCGCACTATCGCCGAAAGAAGAACGTGAAGTTCCTACGCAGCATCTACTCAGACTTTGTTTCCTTCTTCTTCATCTTCCCTATAAAAGGAGAAGCTAACTCCCTCATTCCTTCACCATTCTCCTTCAAATAAACTCGAAGAGAAAGCTGTGAGTGTGGAGAACGAAGTTGTGCTGTCAATTTGGTGTGAAGTCGCCGGAGCAAGCCACAATCTTTGCCGGAAGTTTCGCCGGAAAATATTCAAAACCNATAATTGGGATAAATCTTATAGAGATAAATCCAACATGTTGATTTATTGTGTGATCTTGATTGGGAACCTGAGTAAAGACCCAAATCAAGAGTAAATAAAGAATTTGTTTAGAATGTAAATATTGAAATGATTTGTTGAAATAAATCATGAGAATAATTGATATGAATTAAATGAGAAAACATTTTATGAGAAAGGTCAATTAAACCAATTTTGACTCTGTTAAGGTCAAACACCCAAAAATGTGGTGTCGGGAAAAGTATAACAAATGAATATAAAAATTATATCGTTGGATAGAGTTCGACTGTCTGATCGCAACGGTGCAAACGGATTTCAATTCGGAGAAAGTTGGACCGAAAAGTGTACCCCGACTGGACCAAAAATTAGCCCCAATCAGAGAGTAACGTGCTAAGTCTCCTTAAGTCGCACTATCGCCGAAAGAAGAACGTGAAGTTCCTACGCAGCATCTACTCAGACTTTGTTTCCTTCTTCTCCATCTTCCCTATAAAAGGAGAAGCTAACTCCCTCATTCCTTCACCATTCTCCTTCAAATAAACTCGAAGAGAAAGCTGTGAGTGTGGAGAACGAAGTTGTGCTGTCAATTTGGTGTGAAGTCGTCGGAGCAAGCCACAATCTTTGCCGGAAGTTTCGCCGGAAAATATTCAAAACCTTCATTTACCTTTGAGGTAAGCCCGTAGATATATCTAAAGATTAGAATGTTCATATAGGTTGTTTTTACGTTCATAAACGGTCATTTAGTTGAATTTTGTGTTGGACATGTTTGAAGAACCAAGAATCATAAACCTTGAATTTGATGTTAAAAATATGTTTTAATGATTCTAAAATCATCTATGAACCTTGGAGAACATTTCTATATAATCTAATTGAAGTTTGGTGTTTTAAAACCATAATACTCGAAACTGACCCGAGGAAGAAGATGATGAACAGTAGCCGAAAATCGATTATTTACTTACTAAAAATCGATTAGAATTTTATTCAGACCAGTGGTTCGAATTCAGTACCATTATGAATTAATTGATTATTTAAATTGTAAAAATCGATTATTATGAATTAATTGATTATTTAAATTGTAAAAATCGATTATTATGAATTAATTGATTATTTAAATTGTAAAAATCGATTATTATGAATTAATGGATTATTTAAAATTATATAAATCAATTTTTATAAATTAAATGATTATTTTAAATTATTTTCCTCAATTCTAGATCCTGTTGTGAAAATATTATTGAAAATATGCTCTAAAATCCTATTTTATTACCAATTAATTATAAACCATAAAAATATGATTTTGTACAATAAAAATAATGTTTGTGACAAATAAACATTATGTGATGCATGACGGTAAGTTCGGGTGTTAACACTCGAGACTAGGCCGCTATTTGTTATTATGCATTATGACAATTGTTTGATTATTGATTATAATGAATTAATGATGATGAACGTTTTGAATGATGATCATGAATTGTTAAAGTGAAAATAATGAATTAATGAATCGTATTGTTAAGGATATCTAGAACAACTCTAAGATATACCCACTTGTATATTGATGATGATTATTAAGGATATCTAGAAGAACTCTAAGATATACCTACTTGACCAATTCATATTTCGGGTTAAAACGTACGTACGGGATCCAGACCGGATATCACCCACCCGACAAATCATTGTTCGGTTGGTACGTAATCCACATGAC